ATATATATATATATATATGAAATCCTGCTCTCACTTCCAGCTACCCAATTTCTCTCTCTGAAAATCCAGATATTTTTGCATTTATAATTACTTTCTCCTTTTCTTCTTATGACACACTATTATTGTGACTGTACTTTCCTTTTCTTTTTCCAGTTAACAAAATATCCTAGAAAATGAACCTTGGAGTTGGCAAACTTTCCATTAAAGGCACAGATAGTAAATATTTTAGGCTCTGCTGCCACTGAGTCTTGCACTATCCATCTCTGCCCATGTGGGAGGAAGACAGCCACAGACCAGAAGGAAATGGAAAAGTACGGCTACATTTTGATCAAACTTTATGGACATAGAAACTTGAATTATACATCACTTTCATGTGTCATGAAACATGATTTTGGTTTTTATTTTTACAATCAGTAAAAAGATAAAAAGTGTTCTGAACTGGTGGGCAGTACCCCAACAGTCCTTCAAGCATATTTTGCTACCTCTGCTTTTTACGATACCCGTTATAACACACACCCACACCCACACCCACACACACACACACATAAAATTTTCTATATCATAGCATATATGCATCACCTTCTATGTCATAACATATATTTCATGTTCTGTATCAAGCCTTCCTCATTATATTTTATGACTACATAATTTTCTACGGATAAGTTATAATTCATTCAAACAAATCCCTGTAGATTGGCCTTTAGATGCCTTTTGCTATTACAAACAATGCTGAAATGAATAACCATTGTCATTTTGCTAAATGTGAGAGAATGCAGGTGTCTGGAAGTGAAGGTGCTGGGTAGAAGAGTACAGGGTGTACAGTGTTAGGTATTGAAAACCTGCCTCTTTAGAGGTTGTGCCAGTTTGCTCTCTGGCAGTGTCTGAGAGTGCTTATTTCCCCATGTTCTCACCAATCAAAAGTGTTTTCAAACTTTCGATATGTGCCAGTGTAAGAAGAGGAAAAAAATATATAACTTGGTGTAGTTATTTGCACTTCTATTATGATGAACGAAGTTGAATATCTTTAAATCTGTGAAGCTTTTTATCATGGGTTTTCTACATTTTTCTAGAGTCTTTTCTTGTCATGTGCTCATTTGTTGGAGCTTTTCATATTTTGAGGACTTTCTGTCAACATAAGAACTGTTGGAGGGGTCATTTCCTACTTCAATATGAATTTGTAAAATGAAGCTCAAGTACTTTAGTGACTTCACTTTTATATTTAAATATTTAATATCTTGGGGGTTTCAGAATATGCTATTATCTTTTAAGTGACCTTACGACATGATGCTCAGGAAAAACTAGTGGGATCAACTTACAGCCATTCTTCATATTTTCACTTTATAGTAGGAATTACAGTTTTACCTGTGATTCTTTTATCCAATAAACATTTATTAGCAGCTACTAGTTCTCAGGCAGTGAACCCAGTGGAACATACAGAGATAAATCAATTATGAAATCTTCCTTTAAGATGGATGAGTAATGACCCTACCAAAAATAATAAAGGCAGAAATTAAAGAAATTATTTTCTATATGGAAGATACTTGCTTTATATCCTATGTACATAATCTTAAGATTCTGTCCCCATAGAAGCTCTGTAAGTTAGGTTCTATTCTGGCTTTCTGTGTTTACAGATTAGAATGATAGGAAGCGGTAGGGCCAAGGCTGAGGTCTATGCAGCCTGACCCTGAACCTAGGCTTCTAAACCCCCTACCTTGTCCCCTTTCCAACCAGGACCAAAGGTAAGTGGGGGATACAAGGAGCACTGTGGGGACTCAGAGTGAATAATGAGAAGCTGCATAGCAAAATATCTTTAAAATCTTTATTCACATTTGACTAGGGTAATATTTCCGGCATCGTGCAAGATTGACAACTTCAATATAAATTCTTAATTTCTTCACATATTCTTAAATTTCATATTTGGAGGGGCAGATTTTTGAGTAAAGTGGTAAAACCCAGTCAAACATTACTAACCCCTTTCCCCTGTTTTTTCAAATAAAAAGCATGAAATAGTTAAATATATTAACAAAGTAACCCTTAATGTCATATTTTACTTGCTGTGGCTGTAAGGCTGAATTTTCTAATATTGCTTTAAAATTTTGTTCTCTTTCTTTTTCTTTCTCTCTTCAATAAGATTACACTGGAAAATGTTGAGATAATCAAAGAACTTGTTACTTGGAGGTGGAATTTCCTCAGTGACTTCCCATCCACAAATTACTATTTTTGGTGCAGGCACCAAAAATATCAATACCAGTTCAAAATTTTTCATATAAATTAGTTGTTAAATAACTCTGAAAACTGAATTAAAAGGTGAATGCGTATGTGTTTTAAATTTTGCAGCTCTAGCCTATCTTAATTAATGGTGTTACTAATTTGGCCTATTGACACATTTGATAGTTAATAGCAATTAGTTTTAGCACTAGGTAGGCAGGCTAACTCCTGCGTACACTGGCTTAAATATGCCATTCATGTAAGAGTATTGGGTAGGTGAGTAGATCAGTGTGTCACCCTCCACCACATAGTGACACTCAGGATGTTGGAGGTCTCAGTCTCTTAGAGCTTCTAAGGTTTCCCAGGAGTCCTCTCCATCCCTGCAAGCACATGGGTAGAGTTCATGGGCAACCTGGTGTGGGTGATTTTATGGGCCAGACCGGAAGTGGCACCCACCTGGCATTACCATTTCCATTCCATGGTCTAGACTCGGTCACACCCAGATGCTAGGCAGATGGGAAAATGGGCTGTAGCTCTTTGTCCAGGAGGGAGAACATGGATTTTGGAAGGAACCATCAGTCTCTGCCACAGTTGTTAAAAATGCACTCTACCTTAAAAGGCTCACACGAAGATCCTATTCCTACTCCTATTTGATCTTCATTCCTTGGGATGGGGGCTTTTCTCATTTTTGGTGCATAGGTTCTCGCAAGCATTTTGTAACTTCTGTTAAACAGAGAAGGCTATCTGGCACCCATGCCTGCGGGGAAGGTAGTGGAATGGTGTAACGGATGTCTGGAGATGTGTTCTGCCTGTAGGAAGATACCATGCTGCTGGGGGTCTACCTCTCTGCTCACCCTTCTTCCCCTGTACATGGGAGCCTCCAAGTCTCCCTGACAGCCCATGCTCTACAGCTGAGGGTGCAGATATGCCTACTTTGGGACATTTGTTGGGTTTTTTTTTGGAGGAAGTCGGGCAAGGCATTACTGAATGTGATGTTTTGGTTTCCAGGAAGCCTTGGAGTGGGCAACGAAGAACCACTTGTGGGGTCACGCTTTGTTCCTATCCAGCAAGATGGACCCAAGGTCCTACAACTGGGTCATGAGTGGGTGAGTCCAACTTACAAAGGAGACTAACAGAGCAGAAACGCTGCCTCTCCAAAGGTCAGGGTGGGGAAGAATGCATGTTGTACAAAGAAGCCCACACTCCAAACAGTTTGCAGTTTCTCTTTTCTGAGCCAGATGGCATTCCTCTTCTCCAGATTCTTGTAACATAGATTCAGAGGCATTCTTTGTATTTCCTAAGTGGAATGGAATATTTTAGTCATAGTTCCCAAGATCAGGATTTCTGAAAATGAAATCAATTTTACATTTCAGTAATCTTTGGGAGGGGCAGTTTTTGATTGTTCCATTAGTGAAGGAACAGGTGATCCCTTAAGTTCAACTACTAGAGCTTCAGGAGTGAGTAAGTAAATGCCTAATGCTTAATGCTGCAGTGGTCACGTGTATGTTGAAAGGTGGGTGGTGATATGGGGCAGCAGGACCATGAGCTGTGGAACAAAAGGCTGTTCACAGGGTCGAGAATTAGAAGTCAACCTCTATAGCAGTGGGGCTGTTGAGACTGCAGAGAGGGCTTGGAGAAGACCATAAAAGCACCCCACGTCCCTGGTGCCGGAGTAGACTAGTAAGAACAACCAACCCAGAAGCAGACCCGGTTCACAGGGCTCAAAAGGATCAGTACTGAGAAGGTGGTGGGCAGGGGGTGCTGGAGAAGGGTTTCTGAATAAGCCTTTAGGCTCCAACTGGCACCCTGAAGGGCAGGGGTGAGTGGGGCTCTCCTGTGAGGATGAGGCTGGGGTCAGACTGTGAGAAGGTTGCCGCCTCCACACATACACCTGAAGTGTGGGATCAGGCCCCGAGGTGTCTGCTGAGCTTAGGTTCGAGTTGGCCATGGGTCCCGTGGGGCAGAGAGAGAGTTGGATAAGATGGACCCCTCCACTTCAAGCTCAGTCTGTGTTCTTAGAGGCTGTCATCCTGCCTGGGAGCCCGTATTTCAGGATGGCCTCCACCCCTGGAGTCTCTTTATTACTCTAACCCCACTCTCTCAGGGATGAGTAACCCCACTGAGCATTTCGTTATCAAAGACTGGAGTTGTGAGGAGTGCTGTGGTCCTGTTATGAAGAGTGCTCTGAGCTCCTGTGGCAAGGGTGCTGTTAACTTAAAACTTGTGTTCTGAGGGACGATTTTCCCTTGGGTTTTGAAAATGAACATCCTACAGCCCCAGGATGTAGCATACATCTCTGCTACAGATTTTTGCCTTGGGCCATTGATTTTTGATGGGGCCCAGTGAATTGTGAAAAATATCTCTTACTGAGTGTGCTTAAATCTCACATCAGCTGTAGAGCTTATTATATCCTTGTTAAGCATATCTCAGGGTTTGTCATTAGCAGGATAATTTCTGGTCCCTGTTCCACACCTTTTTGGTTATTGAAAATGGCCGTTTAGTGCTTGTGAGTGAATGCTCTGCAGACCAAGGCCTGTGATGAGCAGGGAAATGACACTGACAGCTCCGGGCTTGGTGTGGATGAGGGGAGGAAGGGCCCCAGAGAAGAGCTGCAGGTGAGTGCCACTGCCCTCCAAGGGCCCTTGAGATGTGTGAGTTATTTTGTTGATGGAAGAGGCCTTAAGAATTAGGGCATCAGGGCCAAACTGCAGAAAATATCTCCATACAAGGGGTTTGTGATGGAATGAAGGTGCTGCCCATCTCTGAAAAAGGGGACTGTAAAGGCACAGCAGAGAGCTGAGAGATGCTCGAGTTTGAAAGAAGCCACTGGCTTCAAATGGAAATATGCAAGGCCTGTGTGTTGGCAGTGGGCCAAGACCTCCAGCTGGGTCCCCAGGACTGTCCTTTCTCTCTGCAGCTTCACCAGCACCCTGGCTCTCAACGACCCCCTGCAGACCCTCTTCCAGCTCATGTCGGGGAGGATTCCACAAGCAGCCACGGTAGGTACCCTCTAGGACAGGATTCCTTCCACACCCCCTCATCTGAAGGCAGGGACGGGTGTGGGGTGGGCATGGGGGCCTCAGGAGTGGAGGATGGCTTTCAAGGTGACGCACGAATGACAATAATTTCTTAATTACCTGCCATGTGCTAAGTGCTCTGACAAGCATTTTTTGTTTTTCGTTAGTACACGAAGGTAGGAGCTATTAGCCCTGTTTCACAGATGTGGAAACAAGATGGAAAACTGCAAAATGGCTGAAGATCATGGAGTTAGGGGAGAGTCAAGTCATAATTAGCCCTGGTCTGTCTGACTCTAAAGATCTTGGGCTTACACAGTACTACAGTGAGAGCTGCTGTTCTCCTGGCTTTCCACAGTGGGGAACCTCTCTTTTCCTGGGAGGAGGACTTCCTCAGTGCATGTTGGCCTTTGGAGCCAGACAAGTTAGACTTTACATCTTCTGGAGTTGAATGTGGTTGAGGAGAAGGCTGAGGCCTGCTTGAGAATTTTTCCATTATAGCAGACTTAATCTTTTTGTGCCAAACTATTTCTTCCTTATCTTTGAAATCCAATAACTTTATTAGGATATACGTTGGTGTTAACTGGGTCGGGTTTTTCAGAGTCTTTTTTTTTTTGGTACCGGGGATCGATCTCTGGTCCTTGTGCTTGCGAGGCAGGCAGCAGAACCACTGAGCTAAATCCCCAGCCCTGGGTCAGTTTTTTCTTGGGATTTAGTATGACTTTTAAATATGTGCATCGAGCTCACGGAGTTCAGGAAAATTTTCTTGAAAATTTGTCTCATTCCATTATTTTGGTTTTGTTTTCAGGAATTCATACATATAAACTATGCATACACAAGTGAATTTCCTTCCTTCCTCTTTCCTTCTTTCCTTCCATTTCTATCTTCTGTACCCTCCTTGCGTTTTCACTGGTGTCTCTTCCTTTTGTGTTCTTTCCATTTTTGCCTGTATTTCTTTGATTTCCCCCCTATTTCTTCCTTGAGCGGTACAGGTCACGTTTATTTCCTCCTGTTGTCCATCATCTTTCTTGAGTTTATTTAACTCAGCTTTGTGCTTTGGCTTGAGTTCACACATTTGTTTCATTATTATCCGTTTCCTCTCGAATGCACCTTTCTTCAATCTCCATTACTTTTGGTGGCCTGTTTTTTTTTTTTTTAATTTTAAAAATTGAATTTCTGCTGACAACTAGTTTTAATGAAGACAGACGACATTTCTGTTTTTTTTTTTTTTTTGTCCTTCTTATTGCTTGTGGATAATTCTAAGAAAAGAAAAGAGAAATGATGACATTCAGCCTTCACCATTAAAGCAACGGGCTATTTTATTTTTTCCAGGGAGGGTTGAGACAAGGTCTCACTATGGTATTCAGGCTGGCCTTAAACTCACAGCAATCTTCCTGGCTTGACCTACCAAGTACTGGGATTATAGGTGTGCACCACCATGCCTGGCCAATAGGCTATTTTAAAACATAGAGTGTGCCTCAAAATTCAGCTGAAAGGTCCGTGCTCTGCAGTGAAATTGTGCCATGTTATAAAGTAGAAAATGTACAAAGTGATGTAATTCGCTTATGGTCCGTTAGGTCTCACTGCAGTGATAGCATTGGCCAATTTTCCATACATTTTGGTGAGAAAACCAAGGAGCCAGAAGTGATGTACCAAGGCAGTGTTTGATCTGAGGGTGTAGGAGTTTTCCAGATGCTAATGTTCGAAAAAAGGCCAGACTGCAGTTACCTGTGAAGAGTGGGGTGGTGGAGAAAGCACGGTGACTGGTCACGCAGGTGTGGCTTTCACCACAGGTTTAACCTAGGCTTTGCTCTTGCCCAGTGTGCAGACTGGATTTTATTACTTCATCTCACAGTGCCTCAAGTTTTCATATTTGCGGGGATATTATGAAAATTAGAGGGAGAATATGACCTACCAGTCACCATGTTTGGCCCACTTACCTTAGTCCATAAATGTGTCCTTGCTCTTTCTCTTTGCCACAGATGTGATGTATAGTGATTCTTTTCCAAATCATCTAGAACAGAAGATAGAAATACTAACAAGATTTTTTTTAAAAAAGAGATTTCCTTTTTTTTTTTTTTTTGCTTGTTCCTTTAGATCCAGCAGAAACTGCTTGGCTTATGTGTTAAGATGAGGGTAAGCCGAGTGTGGTGGCACATGCCTGTAATCCCAGCACTCAGGAAGCTAAGGCAGGAGGATCGCTGTGAGTTTGAGACCAGCCTGGGCTACATAGTGAGTTTCTGGTCAGTCTCAACTACATAGTGAGACCCTGTCTCAAAAAACAAACAAACAAACAAAATGAGGGTAAGAGTGGTGCCTGGCATGCGTGATTGTTGGCAGGAGAAACTCTTAGCATGGGGTACAGTTCATGGCCTAAGCCTTGAACTGATAAACGAGAGCTGCTGTTGCTGCTTTGACCCTTCTTGTGCTTATTCCTCCTCCTTCTTTTTTAATTTATACTGTATTTTCCAAGTTAAATCAGGATTAAATGTAACATGTGGTTGGAAAAAGCATCTTTTATTCATTGAGATATTTACAAATACCAAATAATTGTGAATAGTTTGGACCTCCAGACATCAGTTATTATTGTCAATCTCCCAGTCTACCCATTTATGCAACAAATTAGAGTTAGACAGGCTTGAAAATTACTTCTCTCCTTGGCTAAGCTTATAGTCGTGTGTGTGTGTGTGTGTGTGTATGTGTACCTACTACAGAATTTATAAAAGGCAAACAAAATGTGAAGTATTATGCTATGTGCTTTACAAACTATCTTACTTTACTATCAGCAGCAGTCCCGTTACGTGGAAATTCTGATCTCCATTTTAGAGATGAGGAAACAAAGGTTCAAAGACATTAAAAACCTTGTCCAAGGTCACATGAGGCATGATGAGTCAAATCCAGACCCTGTGTTGTCCTATGATGTTATATTGTTTGTAAACTGACAGTATCCTCCTTGAGATTGTCCTTCACTTAGAGGAAGGGCTGTATCCCAGGAAGCCCGCAGGGAGAGCACCCTTTAGTGGGGCTTCTTCTCATTTCCATGTCTCTGCTGACTCTCTGCTGCCCCCTGGTGGGCCCTGCTGCCTCTGCATTGTCCCTCAAAGGATGGGCAGGAGGAAAATGAACTGGGGCTTGAGTCCTGGCTGGATGGGTTGTTAGGCTTGATCTTCCTAAGCAGAGGTAGGAATTAGACTTCATAGGGTTGTTATGAAGGTTTAACAATAGGATGTACTCAAAGGGACGTTGTAAGAGCAGAAAATGGTAAACATTTGGCAAGACAGTAAGCAGTCTGGCCTTACCCTGACTCCTGCGATGGGCTAATTCTGTCTCCTCTGCTTATGAGATAAGGATATTTGATCTTCCTTCTCCCACTGAAACATCTGAGGTTTATTTTGCGGGGGTGGGGTGGGGGCTTGGTTGTAGCTATTTGGGGTGGAGGCACTGGGAATAAATTTAAACATTAGTGAATAACTAATAAGGTGCTTCATATATCTCCAATTTCTTTATGTATATATGTATGTGTGCTCATATCTATATGTATCTGCCTGCCTTTTCTCTTTCTAGGAGTTTTTTCTTAAAGAGAACTCTAAATTAGTAAACAGCAGCATTGCAGGCAGTATATTGGACATTTCCCAAACCCCTCCAAACAACAACAACAACAACAACAACAACAACAACAAAAACACAACCTTCTTCACCTCCATTCTGGCAGTACTAAGTGAGTCTGTGAACATCCATTCTTTTCCTGCTATTTTTCAGTGCTGTGGGGACAACCAGTGGGGAGACTGGAGGCCCCACCTGGCAGTGATTCTGTCAAATCAGTCTGGGGACCCCGAGCTGCATCAGCGTGCGATTGTCACCATGGGGGACACCCTGGGTAAGCAGGAACCACACCGCCCACCCTGTTCTCTAGGGCACCTCCAGACCAGCTTTTACACGTCTGTCCTTAGATGTCTAGAGTCTGGCTAGAGCCGGATTCTATACACAGGGCTTTCCAGGACCCAGGAGCCCCATGCTTTGGGATAAGAAGTTCCAGGGAAAGGAGTATCCTGCTTGTGTTTGTCTCCTGGAGTTCCCACTGCATGCCAGTGCAGGCCAGACCCAAGACGTGGTGTGTGCTGCAGAGCCACTTCCCAGCCATTGATTTTCTCCCCCTGGGTGACACTCTCTTTTCATGGAGTTAACAAAGGAGACTCCTTGCCTCTTTGGCCATTTATGCTCCAGTGACCCAGCTCAGTCAGACAGGAAATTCTGTTTTTGCCTGAGCTACCCCAGTATTCTGTAGTCTATTTCTATCATTTCTGTGAGCACGACCTTACAGCACCGAGAGGCGACGGAATGTTCCAGTGAAGTGCATCTCGAGTTTGGTCAAGGGGCAGAAGATCTAGAAATCGCGGCGTTCCTTGTGGACCTTAACACTGCTTTGTTAAACTTGAAATAGCTGTGTGTGAGGTTGTCAGCATCCTCGACAAAAGGGAACTGATGTTTGTCGAGCCCTTCCTGGGTGCCAGACACTGTGTTAGGTATTTTACCTCCTTGAATAAAGTTTGAGGCACTGGAAAATGTACAGGAGAACACTTAAAAATTGAGAACAGTTTGGTAATTAATGTGATTTTTATGAGCTCTGGGCAAAGACTCCTTCCTGTTGCTTGATGTTAGAGGAGTTGCAGTTGTGTCCCAAAAGCTTTGTTTAGGAGTCGCTACTCTCCGCACACCACTTTGCTCAAGTATGGGCATCTCCAGTCCATTCTCACTTGGAGGAAAGACTGAAATGTTTAGAAAATGCCGCATGGAAAAATCCATCAGGAGGAGTGTGAAATAGTGCCTTACTCTGGCTGAAGACAACGGAAATGGAACATCCAAGTTGAGAGTGCTGCTAGGGGAGGGGTCGGGGTGGTCCCGTGACTCCTGGGGGAGAAGCTCATTGATGTGGCCTCACCAGGCTTCTCCTGCCCCCGCCCCAGTCCACGCTTTGATCTCTCCGTCCCACCCAGATGGTGGGCCACCTGTGGGTGCATCCCACGACGGGGTCTTGTTCTGCTCCTCCTGCAGCTGGGAAGGGGTTTGTGGAGGCTGCTCACTTCTGCTATCTCATGGCTCACGTGCCCTTTGGCCACTACACCGTGAAGACGGACCTTCTGGTCTTGCTGGGCAGTAGCCACAGGTATGTGGTCTCCTGGGGGAGGAAATGGCAAGGTTGTTTCCCATGAAATTCTTTTAGCCCTGGCTGCGTTCATGTAGCCATTTATCATTTTTTTGTAAAATCCAGCTACTGCTGGTCCCCTCTAGATTGTGTTCCTGTGCTGCTCTGGGCAAGATATGTAGGTGCTGCGTGGGGGCCTCAGGTCTCTGCCTGCTCCAGGAAGTTGTCAGTTGGTGCCCTTGGGTTGTATTGTGCCCTTCTGGCCACTGGGTGGCACCCTGGCTCCACAACCAGAAGTCTGGAAAAAAACCAAAAACCAAACAACCCAACCCACCAAACAAACAAACAAAATCCCCAAACAAAACAGTTTTGCGGGGCAGCCCTGGGCCAGTTCTGAGAGCCCATCTGGGCAAAGTGGGAAGTGGAAGAAGTTTGCGTTTCGTCCCTCCGCAATGACTGGGTCCAAGGTCCTCGGAGCCCGCGTGGCTGCTTCTCCCTGTGGGCCGTGACATCAGGCTTTCGTTAGTGAGAATGAGTGCATACAGGATGAACAGACAAGCAGCAGCCCCCTCACAGATCTCTCTGTCCCCTTTCCCATGATGGTTAAGATTTATGAATGTTGTATGTGGCCCTGGCCACTTTCTCTGCATGATTTCCTTTGTTATAGATCTGCCCAGTGAAGAAGGTATATTTTTAATCCTCACATGTGGAGGAGAGAAACCAGGGCACAGAAAGGTTAAGAAGCTTGTCTGCCGGGGCTGCCTGCCCCTGTGGCCCGCACCTGTCACCTAGCCCGTTCTCTCCCCCGTCTGGACAGCACATGCGTAGTTAGCTTATCGGGAGAGGCTGTCCTATCTCCCAGGAATAATCCGGTGACTGATTTTGGACATCACGGCAAGGTGTTGAGGGAAGAGACTTGGGGGCACGTGGGACTCTTGGGGCCCTCAGTCATATTCTCCCAGCCCCCTTCCTTACTGGTTGAATGAACGTGCACCCCAAGTCCTGTCGCTTGCTCTCTGTCTCAGTTGCCCTTCCATCCTCTGCCTGGCCTTCTCATCTCGCTGCTCCTGGAGGGCCACCTGCCCCCTCTTCTATGCTAGCGCTCAGGCTGGAGCAGCCTGGGACACACCGGGCTTTAGGGCTCAAAGAGTGACTCTCAGCACGCCTGAGGGGGGGACCTGAAGTTCCAACCCCTCGAAAGGGATCTGGAGGGCCCATCCCTGAAGCCTCTGCCTCCCAGTGCCCTGGTGTGTGCTCTGTCATGCCTAACCCAGGCCAAGATGGTGGAGGGAGAACAGGCAACAGACCCATGCTGCGGCTGGAGCCTTTCCTGTCTTGCAGCTGCCATAAGCAACCTAGGATGGAGCCCCTGGCATTTGCCTGGGACGCATCCCACCCCACCTTAATCTCTTGTGTTCTTATTCCCTATTGTAGTCAAGAATTCTTGAAATTTGCAGCCACCGAGCCTATCCAGAGGACGGAAATCTTTGAATACTGCCAAATGCTGGGCCGCCCCAGATCTTTCATTCCTTCTTTCCAGGTAACAGAGCCCAGATAAGGCCGTCTGCTTAGCTGCCTGGCTTTCAGCTTTGCTTTTTGGCATGCAGTACCTGGGGCTAAGTCATCTACTGCATTTTTCCTCATTAGTGTGAGAGCGGGAAGGGTTAGGATTTCTTTTCATGTTCCCTAAAGGTTTATATTTTACTATATGAAAGCAAAAGCTCACAGAAGCCTCTCTGCTGGAGGCTTCTGCCTCTGTCCTGCCTCGGGAAGATCGTGCTTGCTGTCCTCAATCCCCATGTGCTTCTTACCGTCAGTGCCACCCTCTTCCGCCCTTTCCACAGCTGACCTGCCAGGTGTCAGGGAATCCTGCCTTCTCCCTGCTGTCCTTGGCCTTCAACTTCTTTTCTTGCCTTTCAAGGTTTGCCTTGTAAGTAGCATCCAAACTGCAGGTCTGTCCTTCTTCTCATCTCTGCTTAGTGTCCTGCTGTAACCCCAAATTCACGGCAACGGATGCTGACCTCAGGCCATCCTCCTATGCAGTCTCCCATATGGTCCACCACCCAGCACCATGCAGTGCCTTCCTTCTGCTCCTGCTGGCGCGACTGTCGTGGTGACCCTGAGTGGGCTCAGCTGGGAAGTGGCTGCAATGGGGCTGGCGTGAGGTCACCTTTCATTTTCCACCCTGCACTGGAACAGTGCCGGGCACAGAGTGCACTCACTGCGGAGGCAATCACAGCCACAGCGCCGGCTCCAAGGCCCCTGTGACATTTACCCCACTCGGCCCTGCATTTTCTTTCCTTGCCTTGTTCAGGATCTTAATCTCTGCCAGATTATTGTTAAGGCAGAGTCCTTTCCTGGTGGCTCTTTTTTTTATCTCCTTCAGTGCCTGGTGTTGAGAGTGCACACGGCAACCGCAACACACACACACACACACACACACACACACACACACACACACACACAGACAGCCTTGGAGGTGAATCACTGTGTTACAACGAGATGACCTATTTGGTATGAAGTTTTACCGAAGACCTAGCTTTTCCAGCAAGTCAGCTCCCCCTTGTGGCTGCTCGACCTCCACCTCCATCTCCTTTGCCTTCTTTATTCACTGCACCCCTCAGTTATCTGGACTCTGTGCCGGGCCCCGAGTACCAACATCAGCCAGTTTCCCTGGTGTTTTGCGTTGTGTCTCTTGGGTACTAGTTTTAATTCTGAGGCACAGGCACGACTATCCTCCCCATCCCCCTTTTGTAAAGGACGAGACAGGCTCAGAGGGGTTGCATGCTATCTGCTTGCTTTGGGGCACACATCTGCTCTAGGTTTATGTGCATTATCTCACTTGGTCTGCACGACGAGCAGCGGGGAGGTGGTGTTATGATTCCCATGCTGCAGTGAGGAAATTGAGGCACAGAGGCAGAGGGAGTAGCCTCCGTTCCACAACCTGCATGGCCTTGGATTTGCTGGGGTCTGTCTGAAGTCACAGCCCTGTGCCGATCTCGCCGTGTCAGCCCTGCTTCCACTTGTTTCTCTGCATTTGTCTGCATTCTCCACTGGGCTGTTTGCACCAGGCCTCCGTTTGCTTTTTTTTTTTTGGTACCAGGGATTGAACTCAGGGCCTTGTGTTTGTGAGGCAGGCGGTGGCACCACTGAGCTACATCCCTGGCCCTTCCTTTTGCCTTTTCTTATGTGCCCTGGTGCTGTGTTCCATGTCCATCAGGCTCTCTGGGGATGTGGGCTGCTGGTAAGAAGCACTCCAGTGCCTTTCCATGGTGACCAGGGCCTGGGAGGATACAGTAAGCTGATGTGAGCCCCCCGCTCCCCTTTAAGGCAGGAACTGCAGGCTGGATTTGGAGTTGTGCCTATGCATAGAGAAAACGTCCCAAATGGCACAGGGCCTTTGATGTTTGGAAGTCAGAGTTAGTAGAAGCTGGCAGTCAGCTGACTTCCAAGAGGCCTTATCTACATTTCTTCTCTCTATTCCTATCTCCACCCTGATGGACTTGTCATTGGCCTTGTTCCTCTTCACAGGTGTATAAGCTCCTTTATGCTTCCCGTCTGGCGGATTATGGCCTGGCATCCCAGGCCTTGCATTACTGTGAGGCTGTTGGCACAGCTGTCCTGAGCCAGGGAGAGAGCAGTCACCCTGTGCTATTAGTGGAGCTCATCAAGGTAAGCGTCTCAAAGGCGTCTCTGCAGGTGTTTTATCTTCAGTGCTCAGAGAAAGCTATTGTAGAGCAGCTTGGACTCCACATTTCTTCTTCTTTGAACATGCTGCGAGATTGGAGCCCGCGGCTGTCTTTGGCCACGTCCGCATGCCCCGGTGTGATAAGCAGAAGCCCGACATGCACAGAGGACTGATGTGCTGGGCGGGGGTGGTGGGATCCAGGGGCTGGAAGCCAGGCCTGTGCTACTCAGGAAATTCATTCCTGCATCTGCTTTTCTGGTACAGTAAAACTGTGTGCTACGGTGAGCTGTTCTTATTACAAGAGGTGGGCATAGAAAACATATTTTGGTGATTAAAACAGGAAATGAACCTTATTAAAATGCTTTTAAATGCATGGAATATTTTATCACATGTGGGATACATTTAAAAAAGAAAACAAAAATATATCATCCCTTAGTTCCTGGGGAAGAAAACAACAATCAGGCAAATAGTTGTTCCAATTAATAGAAGAAAAATCCATTAACGAGGGAGTCAGAAGGCAGCCTACCCTCATATTTTTGTTTTGCTTTAGATGAGGCCCTAGTGTTGAGTTCTGTGACCAATAAAATTTGTGGTGCCGAGCTCGCATACCTGGAAATTTCTGCCAGTAGGGTGATGATTCTCAGGCGCTCAGGGCCCCAGGATGGATGGTTTGGGGTCAGAACACTGGAATAAAGGATTGAAACACAAAGTAGCATCAGCCACACCTGCGAAAATGTTAGAGATGCAGATTTCAGGCCCCACCCAGACCAGCTGAATCAGAATTAGCATTTTTAATAAGGTCCAGGGTGATTCCTTAAGTCCAACCAAGCTTGAGAAGAAGCTTTGCTCCATTTCTCCTCATTCATGTTTTGCTTAGTATTTCACACCAAAATGAGTTATTTATTTATATTGCAGTCTGGGAAGGCTCGCTGCTGAACTTGCTATTTCTTGAATACTTTCATAGTTTAATCTTTCTCCTTTCCCTTCCTGTACTTCCGCTTTGGCCCATTTCCCTCCACGCCTCCTGTTTCGCTCTCTTCTTGCCTCTCTGACTTTGCCCTCCCACCTCGTCTGGAAACCTGGTGTAGCTCGCAGAGAGGCTGAAGCTGTCAGATCCTCTGGTTTTGGAAAGGCGCTGTGGGGACAGGGACCTGGAGCCGGACTGGCTAGGGCAAGTGCGGAGGCTGCGCCAGGAGCTTGAGGTGAGCAGGGCGGAGCTGGGGTCTGTGGGGTGGGCCTGTGTTTCCCTCACTGCCCTAGGCACGAGCTAAGTACAGCAAGTCCAGGCCCCTCAAGTCACTGCGAGGTCTCCTGTCACCCCGGACACACAGGATGTGTCCTGGGAAGGGCGGGGCTCTGAGTACCTCCTGTGGCCTCTCTCTGCTGTGCAAAGCTTTTCCTGTGTTTGCACGTGACATGGGCCTGGCTTGTTCTTTCTAAGCACACTTGCGCCCTTCTCTGCTGTCCCAGAGAATCTGCTTTCTGACCATCAAAGTTCCCTATCTCTGTTAGGAACAAAGGATCACAGTGGGCCTGTGTCACTTTCATGTAATGTAGGGCAATCGCTTAAAAGACTTCCGGACCTTTCTTTTTTGTTCTGACAATTGCAAAAGCTGCTGGCCATAATCAGAACGGTAATTGGAGCAGGCCTCACCCATTTTCTTTCTTCCACTCTGAAGAAAGGATAAAGTAGGTTTGAAAGCACAGATGGCCATTTCTCCCTCTGCCTGCTGCAGACTCAGAGGCTGGTTGAGTCCCTTCCATGTGCCCCTTGTTCTGGGGGAGGATGCAGGACGCTGTGGCTGTGTCTCCCTGCCCTCAGCAGAGTGGGGAGACCTGGGGATGAGTGTCCTTTGCACGTCACCCTGGTCCGGAGCGTCTGGTCACTTGCACTGGAAGTTTCTTGTTGACTCAATGGTTCAACCATCCCATTCTCAGCCCTTGTTTTTCTCTGTGCTGCTTCAAAGGACTTTACTTTACTTTGAATAGCAAAAGGTATCGGGAGACATCGGGGATCCTCATTCTGCTCGCCCAGATATTTCCGGAGCCAAAGGAACAACAGGTATGCAAAGTGGCCGACTGACACTCAAGATGGAACTAAAGGAGGTAAACTAATTTAGGAAACACCTACCCTGCCCTTCCCAGGGCCCTGTTGTTCTTGGACACCTGACCTGTGGGCCCAGCCTGACAGGCTTACATGCCCAGGATGCTTCTCAATCCCCCAGCAGGAGAGACTCTGTGTCACAGTCCGGGTTTTAGACACCCGAATGTGTCGCCCTGTGTTGGTAGCTAACTGTTTCATCTATGTTGGCACCTGTTCCCAGCTAGATAGGTTTCTCAAGGGCAGAGATTGTAGATTACATGTAGTATGTTAGCGTTGGAGTCTCCGGAAGCTCTGAAGAATTTTGAGCGATCGATTGCCTCAAAACCGTGAAATAAATATATATTTTCAGGGGATCCCTGCTCCTCCCCTAGGACGCCTCTGTGTGGCCGAGCAGCAGGCCTTATGTCCCCAAGTTATCTCTGGGATGGGTTGGTGAGGGCTCTCGTCTCTTCCCTGCCCGCTATTTCCCAGCATTCTGTGCTTCCTTCAGGGATGAGCAAAGGGAGGGGAAGGGAAGGGGCCTTGGTTTCTGCTCCTAGCGTTGCTGTCCTGCAGCAGGGTCTGTGGTGTTGCAGTGTGATGAGAGCCAGGCTGGGCATCTCTGGATGTCACTTCCTGGTGGCCCTGTCTGCTGCTGCAGATGGAGCAGGGGACTGGCTGCCCACACCAGTCTTGTGACCTTTGGCCACACCTTCTTTTGTCTGATCAGCAAGATCCCTTCCAATGCCAGTGCCCTTTGTTTCTTTAAAAGCAAAGCTATCATTTCTAAGGTCTGATTTGTGTTTTTAAAATTTTGGTTTTTAGTGGTGCATGTGTGTAGTACATAATGATCACCCTTGCGCTTGCAAGGCAGGCCACCGAACCGCTGAGCTATATCCCCGGCCCAATGATCACATTTATTGTGGGGAGTTGGCCCGTGTACATATCACATCTTAATTCTTTTTTTGTCCTCTTCCCCTCCCATCCTTCTCTGCTCCTTTTTTTGTTCCCCTTCCTATTTGCAAAAGCTCCATTTCCATTTTTAAATTGAAAGCTATGTTTCCAATGCTCAGCTTCATAAAGAATTTCTTAAAGGAGAAAGGACTTACCCCAAAATTAAAGAGTGTAGAGTTAGACGGGAGATGGGATGGTACTTTTTACCTTCCCAGCCCTCAGGCTAAGTGGCTCAGAGATCAAACTAGAAGTGAGGGAAATAAATTCTGTAAACAACAGTGAGAGGTGTTATGGTCATTCTGCCCCCCACCCCACATTGAACTTTGCTTGTTGTTAGATTAATGAAAACCACGTCAAGCAGCCAGATCTTGTGACTGCTTTCCACAGAGGACAAGAGCAGGAATGTTTCTGGTGCCTTTAGTCTGTACCATTTCAGATCTCACGTCTTCTTCTTCACCCTTTGTCCTCAGATACTTTCTACCAGGATCTTTCAGGACGTCAGGCCTCTGGGTCCCATTCAGCCCTGTGGCCAACTCCAGAGCAGACAGGTCCGACCCAGCCTGGCCCCCTAACCCTGCAACTGGGTCCCTACCCAGTGGACAGAGGTACTGGGCACACCGGGGTTCCAGTGCCTCTTTACTCAGTCCCTGAGACCTGCCCTCCAGCGACTGGTGATGGCCACAGCAGTGTGGCAGTGATGGAGGCTCCTGGAGGGAGGGCCTGGAAAGAGACACTGCAGATGTCTGGCCCTGGTAAGACCTGCGGCGGGCTGGGTGCCTTGGCAGTGAGTCCTGGAGGGTAGGAGTGATGGGGAGGTTCCTGGGCCAGTGGGAGGCTGGGCCGAGGCTGGTGCAGATGTGGATGGTGAGTGTGTTTTTCCCTGAGGGTCCTCCTTGTCAGCCTCTGTGCTGGTGCTTGGCAAATACTCTGAGGGACAGGACAAACATGGCCACTGGTACCCTCTCCTTGGATTGCACAGTAGACACTGTGGAGATGTGAAGAAAATTCGACCTGTGTCTCATCCACAGTGCAGCACAGGCCAAAACTTTCTTGTGAAGGGGTCTTGTGGCCAGGAGCTTAGTCGGGGACTGCAGCAAGGACTATGTTTCTTTCCTGTTCCCACATTTCTTCAGGCCCATCAGACCTTAGATGGCACGGGCTGAATGCCGGGGAGCAATGTGGGAACCATGCAGGAGGCTTAGCTCTTAGACCTTCTGAGATGAGGTCATTGGCAAGCTGGAGGCTCACACAGAGGGAAGGTGGAGGATCCCTGGGATCTAGATCCATGTTACTCTGATTCCCCACATTCCTCAGGAATACCTCAATGTTCAGGGCACAGACTTGGGTTGACCGGCATGTCCCAGGGGGGCTGTCACTGTGATCCACTTGTGGTTGTGGGCTCTGAGCTCCAGCTGCTTTGCAGCTTGGTGAGGAAAGCCGCTGTGTCCCCAATAACCTACTTCTGGATGGTGGGAAAAGTACAAATTCTGATTTACTGTCCTTGTTTCTGTTTGGTGCCACAGAAGAGAACACAATGTCTCAAGAAGCCTCCCAGCATTATGATGGTCAGAATGTCATTCCCAAACCTCAGGTGAGAGGACAAGGCATAAAAGATGCAGATGTCCATTCTGATGCTGCTGCTGCTGTTTCTCAACTGCCCCTGGTTTCTTGGCCTCGTGGAAGCACCTCTGTCTTCCACACTGGGCCTTGTCTCTTCTTGTGTATTTCTGTACCAATGCCGGGAGCTGGGAAAAGGACTTTTCTTGCTTATGTTCAGGTCTGCCCACCTCTGACCTTGGGAGGAGGGAGAAACAGGGCTGGTTTGGTTTTGGTGTCATGGATCACAGCCCCTGCTGTTGTACAAAATGCTCATCAAACCCTGCCCAGTAGCAAATTCTCTTGATATTTATTTCCTTATTTTAATCTTGCCTTGCTTTATGTCAAAGATTCATGATGCTGTAACAGTGGCTGCTTGTCTTTTCCCCTCAGTTAGGCTGTAAGGTGTTGGAGGTGCCTATGTCAAATTAATCATTCCACCTCGCTGTTGATTGAGTGCACAGCTTCCCTCAACACTGGGCAGCTTTGATCCAAAGTCTAAGATGTTCTTCAGCTTTGCCTGGGTAGAGGAATTATATCATCTGGCTTTTCAAGTAGTGACGGCGCTTCAGGCCTTAAAAACCTTTTATGATTTACTGTTTTTCTTGTTGGACAGAAAAAAGTAGTACATGATGGTTATAAAAAATGTAAAAATAAAGTATTATATAAAGAATCAAACTTCATAGTCCCACAGTCAAATATTTTGGTTCTTTCCATATATACGTATGGTGTGATCAAAACACATGGTGAATGTTTAAATAAAAAAGCATTACAGTAACAGACACATGCCCTTAATCCTCCTCAGAATCCTCGCCCTCTCTGAACACACTCATCCCATCATTGTTGTTGCTTTCTGAAGCAGGTCTGGAAGTCCTTTTTGTGAGTGTCTTCAGTCACACTGTTGCACTACCGCAGTGTCCTGAACTGATTCAAAACATTTCTTGTCATAGTCTCGTTGACTCGAGGAAGAGCCAGAAATCTCATGGTGCCAGATTTAATGACTAAGGTGGATGAAGATGCTGTCAGGTTTCTGTGAGCCTGCTCTGTCACTGTGTAACCACACCAGCAGCAGCCACTGTGTTTCTGATCGCACTTCATAAAGACACTCATGAGCGAGGGCTTCCAGAACTGCTTCAGAAAGCAGCAAGAATAATGGGGTGAGCGTGTTCAGTGTGAGAGGGAGTGGTTTGAGGAGCGTAAATGGCTATATGTCTTCACCACAGTAAACTCTATGTACACACAGTCATGGTTTTCTTCTTTTATTGAGTTTATTGGTACATTTTAGGTATACGGTACAGTTCCATTCGTCATTGGGATCTTGTACCTTTACATGACAGGTGGTCTTGGTTCTCGTTTTTCCCCTTGTCCCTGCCCTCCCTTCACCCCCTCCTCCCCTCCCCATTCACAAACACTTCATTTCCATTTTTTTCATTTTCTCATATTTTTTCCCTTATTACCTTTCCCCTACCCTTCCCATTTTCCCTACACCTTTAGCCCTTTTCTTCCCATTTCACAATGTCAGTTATCTCATTAGGATCTTATGTAGTATTACAGTTTATTCTCACCAGAGAAACTATTCGGTATTTACACGTGTGTGACTTACTTATTTCACTTAGAAGTATATCCTCAATATGTATCCATTTTCCTATGAATGAGTCTAATTTCTCATTCTTTATAGCTTAGTAGTATTCCATTTTATAGAAAAACCACATCTTCTTTATCTAATCTCCAACTGATGGGCAAATGGGCTGTTTCTAAGTTTTAGCTATTACAAACTGTGTCACTATAAACATGGGTGCACATACATCACTGTGATATGATTCTTTTAGTTCTCTTGGAAAGATACCCAGCAGAGGGATGGCTGGGTCAAATGGAGCCTTTAGTCCCAGCTCTTTGAGGTATCTCTATATTGATTTCCATAGTGGTTGCACCAGTCTGCACTCCCACCAACAATGGAGAAGGGTTCCTTTCTCCCCACAACCCCGCCAACATTTGTTATTATTTGATTTCTTGATAGCAGCCATTCTTTGTGGGGTGAGGTGGAATCTCAGTGTTTTCTTCTGCTTCTCTCCAATGACCAGTGATGTGGAGCATTTTTTCATATATTTGCTTGCTGCTTTTACTTCTTTGAGAAATGTCTGTTCATTTCAGATGCCTATTTTTGAACCGGGTCTTTATATTTGGGGGGGGGCTGATTTTTTTGAGTTCTTTATATATTCTAGATAATAGTCCTTTGTCTGAGGAGCAGCTGGTAAAAAGTTTTTCCCACATTGTAGGTTGTCTCTTAGTTCTGTTGATACTTTCATTTGCATTGCAGAAGCTTTTTAATAAGATAAGATTCCAGTTGTTGATTCTTTCTACTAGTTCCTGTGCTACTGAGGATTTGTTCATAAAGTCTTTTCCTATGCCAGTGTCTTTAAGAGTTCTTCCTAACTTATCTTCCAGCAAGTGTAATGTTTCTGTTTTAATATTTAGATCTTTAATCCACTTGGATTTTAATTTAGTGCATGGTGAAAGATAAAGATCTAGTTTTAATCTTTGGCAGGTTGAGATCCAGTTTTTCCAACATCATTTATTAAAGAGGCTATCTTTCCTCCAGTGGGGATGGTCAGCTCCTTTGTCAAAGATGAGGTAGCTGAGTACATCTGGAGTTGTTTTTTTGTCTTCCAATCCATTCCACTGATCTTCAGGTCTGTTTCTTTGCCATTACCATGCTTTTTATCACAGTGGCTTTGTAGTGTAGTTTCAAATTGGGAATTGTTGTACCCACTGCCATGTGTCTGTTGCCTAGGACGGCTTTTGCTATTCTAGGTCTCTTATGGTTCCAAATGATTTTTTGGATTCTTTTTTCTAGTTCCGTGAAATATAGTGTTGGAATTTCAATTGGCATTGCATTGAATCTGTATAGCAGTTTTGGTAGTATGGCCATTTTCACTATATTGATTCTTCCTACCCAGGAGCAGGGGATATCTTTCCATTTTCTTATATCCTCTTCGATCTCTTTTTTTCAGAGTGCTGTAGTTTTCAGTGTAGAGATCTTTTGCTTCTTTTGTTAGATTGATTCCTAGATACTTCATTTGTTTGGATGCTATTTTTTTGGATGCTATTGTGAAAGGAATTATTTCCCTAATTTGTCTCTCAGTGAGTCTGTTATTTGTGTACAAGAAGGCTATTGATTTTTGGGTGTTGACCTTGTATCCAGCTACTCCGCTAAAATACACACAGTCATGTTTTGATCAGTCCTTGTTTACAAAAAATGTATGTTTACAAATACATGTATATACCTACATGCTCTGACATGATTAAAATGTGAATGTAAGCTTTATTTCCTATTTGTAATTTACGATGATATAAAAATGTTCTATATCATTCATAAATAGGGCTTTTAACATCGATAGAATAAAATCCACTGTGTGAAAGTGCCAGCGTTCCTTCTCAGGGGCTTGCTGAGCTCCTGCCATGTACCAGGCACAGTGACAGGACTGGGAGTGCCTCAGTGACCCAGACACTGCTGTCCTCATGTGCTGACATCTGGTGGAGGTGACTAGAAAGGACGAACTCTACAGAGAGGGGTTTTGCTTTAGAGGGGTCAGGGAGGCAGGTGTCTCTGGGGAGGCTTTGCTCAGAGCTCAGCTTAGAGTGCTGACGTGAGCCAGGTGGCTCCCTGGGAAAGAGTGCACACGGGGCAGAGGGTACAGCAAGAGGACGGGCTGAAGTGGGTGCAGTTTGTCTAATGAGGGGAGTGAAGGGATCCCTGTGCCTAGGAAGTGGGGTGCAGCAGGGGAGAGTACTAAAGTAACAGGTCTCCTCTTTTTCTCTGTGTCCTCCTTACCATGCCCTTCCTTTCTTTCTTTCTTCCTTCCTTCCTACCTTCCTCTTCCTTCCTTCCTTCCTTCCTTCCTTCCTTCCTTCCTTCCTTCCTTCCTTCCCTCCTCCTTTCTTTGACTCATATCTGATACACATCATGGCCACCTGAGTGCATAAACTCTTATCTACGTCTTGACCTATTCAAGTAGGAGAAATTCTTAGAAGGACACAGCCAGACTGTCGAGGTTGGAGCCCTTTTTCGCCCTGTACTAACTATGTGGCCTTAGACAGGTGGCTTTAACCTTTCTGTGCTTAGTCATGCTGTATGTCTAATGAGATAATAATAATGGTTCCCGTCTCAGAGGTCTGTTGTAGGGATTAAATGAATCCCTATGTGAGAATACTTACATCAGAGTCTGGCATTTTATAATTATTATGCTCATTAGAATAAAATAATAAAGCCTTTTCTGTATTTTTGCCGACATTTTAGCAATTATGCTTTATGGAGAGTGTAAAGTTTAAATATAACCCAAAACGGCAGCACGTTGTACAGTTCTACTTCTGTGAGATACTTAGATGTGGCAAACTGGTAGGGACAGGAAGTGGAATAGAATGGCTGTGACCAGGGCCAGGACAGGGCATGTGCGGAGTTTGATGCACACAGAGCTTCTGTTTGGAGATGGCAGGTGCTGACGGAAGTACGCCATTCGAGTACACATACTCCCCCTGAGTCACACACTTCGAAGTGGTTGTAGCAGTAAACTTGTGCAATGCACATTATACCACAGTAGAAGAAAGCTCCTATGAGCCGTGTGGCATTTTCGGTTCCCTCTTGGTGTGGGGAGGGCACTGTTCACTATTGCTCTTGAGTTGCGTCTGCCAGGAAATAAGCTCTAAGATGAGTTGGGTTCACTGATGGCTATGTTCTGTGTTTTGGGATTGGGCGGTCTCTCCAGGCCTGCTTCATCTCCAGCAGTAGCTTACACACCCCCTGCTCCAGGCCTTGTACCAGTTCTGGAAACTGTTTCTGGAGAGGCAGCATAGCAAACATAACTTTCTAAGGTTAGGGAGAACTTGCCGCCTGGGTTTGGGATTGGCCTTGTCCTGCAGTCTTTGGCAAGTCATTCTTCATGGATGAGCCTTACCTCCCCTCGGTGACATCCGATCCCGTAAGAGTGTCCTGATTTACTGAGTGGTCAGATGGAAGGAACATGGGCTTTGGAACCTATCGAGTGCTATGTGAATGTTCGTTCTTTTTAAAATCCCAGGTACCGCTGGCTCCCAGAGCACGAACTTTCTCTGAGAATTCTGGTGTCTCAGTCCAGGAGGATGAGGAGGAGTCCACTGATGAAGCAGATAAAAAGCCGTCCTCAAGTGCTTCGCAGAGAGAAAAGTCAGGCGACCTGAAAGACAGCACAAAGGTAGAGGGCCTTGTTCTTTTCTTCCTTCCCCTCCTTCTCCTTCCTAAACGAGGAGCCGAATTGGGAGTGTCTACTTTGGTTGTGTCCTCTCCCCTCCATTTTCCCCCTCCCATATTGGGGTAGGCTGATCTCACATTCAGTGGGGAGAAACAAACCTACAGGCCATAAAAATTCCTTTTTCCCAGCAGAGCTCAGGATTTGGCTGGTTCAGCTGGTTTAGATCGAAGCCGTCCAACAGCCTGTCTGAGGAAGACTCCTTATCAGACTGCACGGATTCCGAGGTAGCGTGGTGGGAGGGGAGGAGCTCACTCCCTTGAGGGCTTTCAGCGGAAATCTGCCCAATGCCACGTAGTGCCAGGCTGCCCATAGGCTCTGCCCCAGCCTGAATGAAACAGAAGCTTAGTGTTGGGAGATTGTGAGGAATTAATTTGCTCTGTGTGTGACACCTTCAGATTGTGAAGGTCTGCAGAGGGCTAGGAACAGAGCTAATTTGGATTATTGAGCAAATGAAGGGCAGGAGTAAAATGTGTTTTCGGGGGACAACCCTAGAGACAGTTGTAGGGGGGCAACATTATGGGTGTAGGAATACAGAGGTGGGCACGAAGTTGTTAACCATTAGCGCCCCCAGTGCTGACTTTTTTTTTTCTCTACAAAGCAGACGTCGCCTCCCTGCCAGAACAGCCCGGACCTCTCACACATGCTGCCTCTTGAGTCCCTATCCCTGCCAGGTACTAGCACTTTCTCTAGGGACACAGGTACCCATAACTTCGCATCCTGTGGCTGGTGCTGGGGCTGGCTGGGTGGTACCTTCTAGGGGTGGGTCCTGCTCAGTGCTGAGCAGGGGAAACCATTCTGACTCATTGCCCCGTAGGTGGTGATGAAATCTCAGAATCCCTGTCCAGTGGGGGCACAGCTGACAGCACTGGGATTGGAGGGTTCTCGGGGCTTGAGGTGAGCAGCCCATGGACCAGGGCCTAAAATTCCCTCAGGTGCTTGTGTGTGTGAAGACTGAGCTTCCTTTCACTGCGGCCTGGAGATGTTACCGTGGGAGTGGCTGCCTCAAGGGGAATATGGGTGAAATTTCTGTATTAGTTTCCTCAGGCTGCCATGACCAAGTCCCACAGACCAGAGGGATTAAACAACAGAAATTTATTTTCTCACAGTTCTGGGACTGGAAGTGCAAGAACAAAGTTTTGTCTGAGGCCTCTCTCCTGAGCTTGTAGTTGGCTGTCTTCTCTCTGTGTCTTCAAATGGTTTCTCCTCTGTGTGTATCTGTGTTCAGCTTTCATGTCTGATCAGGCACCCACACGACCTCTTTAAAGATTCCATCTTCAAATACATTCCACTGTACTAGGGGCTAGATCTTCACCAGATGAAGTTCTGGAGGGACCCTGTCTCAGTGGGAGCTGGACTTCACTGGTGCTCTTGACTGGGGCTGTGATAAATTCTTCACGAGTTGTCCGCCTCGGTAGGGATTTCATTCCTGTCACTAGGAAAGCATTTTTATTTCCTGAAGCCTGGTGTGAACACTCTCATAGTATTTTAGGGTATCAAAAGAGTCTGGTATTACCTTTTGTGATGGTATGGATCTGATGTATTATGGCTTTTCCTTCTCACCTACTTCAGGTGTGACAGCCCTGAGCCTCTGCTTTGCCACCCCAGGCCCAGGTATTCATTGTGCCCACTTGAATGTCTGTCTGCTGGAGATTTCCTGAGTTTCATAAGAAATCCTTCCCATGCACGTCTCTTGGCCAAAGTTGATGCTTAGGGAAGACCGGGGAATTCTAGGAAGTAGCCGCTGATTGGACTTTCTATTTTTTCCACCACAGAGTGTATCTTCTGTATCTTCTGAGCTCTACTCCAAACCTGGTGTCCTGCCTCCTCCGCCTTCCTTGGAAGGAGCAGTTCCTCTCTACAACCCATCTCAGGTTCCTCGGGTAAGGATATGCTCTGGGCAGGGGGATGAAGGAGCACAGAGGTTTAGTGAGGAGACTGGATTGATAGTCCCAGTTTACCACTTACTGCATGTGAGTTCTTGGGCAAAGACTTAACCTCTGTAGGCTTCAGTTTCTGCATTTATAAAACGAGCGATGAATAACTACCTCACAGATATGTATGAGAAGTGCTTTGCACCTAGAATATGTTTAATAAATGGGCCTGACATAAATATTTCTCTTGATCTTTAATAGGTCTTGAGATGCAAGAGATACAGTGGCGTTAGCAGCAGTAGTGGGAGTGCTGAGTTCCTCTGTGCTGGGGTTCGGAGAGCACTGTAAACTTTGAGAAGTCAAGCTCCCTGCTCCTCAGTGACTTGGGGCAGGCTTATCCCTCTTGATACATCACTTGGCCTCCCTTCTTTATAAAGTTAAATTTCTTTTCAGAATAGTTAAGAGGTGAAGGTTGATCATTAGAACTCAACCTTGGGGACTCACCTGCAGCTGGAGCATTTTAAACAGATGCTCAGTTTGCCTTTGCTTAATCCAATTAGCCATCCTGGGGCAGAGTCACTCCAGGGTCTGTTGTCTAGTGCAGCGTTTGCTCTTCTTTTCCAGCTACCAGCTACCAGCCTGAGTAGACCAAGCCGCCTAGCTCAGCACCGCTATCCAACCCAGCCATGCTGAGAACAACCACCCATCCCAGACCTGTCTCCTGGAATGCAGTTCCTATATTGCTCTCCTTTTCTTGATCTCCCATCCCCTCTCTCATATTCAGGCCCTAAAGAGTGTTGTATTAGCCTGTTGCCTCCAGTGGATAATTGGAAGGTGAGGGAATCGGACCTCTCATGACTTAGCTGAAGCTTAACTTCAGAATGACGGAATTTATTACATTGGATAGAAAGCTCGAGAGCAGTGGCAGAGAGAAGTGGGCAGAGTTATGACAACATCTCTTGAGATGGCGGCGTGAGAGCCTCGATTCCCATGGTCAGAATCAGTGACGATGCCACCAACTCTGTAAGCGGGGCTCAGGGCGATATTCCGGACTAACTTTGACTCCTTTTTCAGTCTCAGTTATGGCTCTAGTTAGCCAGGTTTTTATACTGAAACTCGATTATTGCTGCCCTTCAATGATTCTCTCTTCAATGACATTTTAGCAATTTTCTTCCTCATCCTGGTTTTGTGCACATTTTCTGTGCAGTTCAGATTAATTATATTTCTCTCACTTTCTTAGCTGGTCCTATTTTTTCACATTCTGGCATCTGGCTATCAAGTTAGATTGCTGTAGGCATCATATTGTCATGGTAACTACTGAACCTGATGATGCAGATGGATGGAACATCAGTGTAATAAATGGTGGGAAACAGTTCCTAAAAATTCATCCTTTCCATAAAAAGGGAGGAATGAGTGCCGGGTGTGGTTAATAACTCCCTTTCTACCTCAGGCCTTTGCAAACTGATGTTCAGAGGGTCACTGGAGCCAGAGGGAGGAGGGGGATATCTTGGAAATTTCCATTTCTCCGTGCAAACCAAAAATAGGAATGATTCTTGCTGTTTGTCAGATTTGCTGAAAATTGCTCTTCACAAAGAACGCTTTTTGTATGTGTAATTGTACATACAGGTTTTGCACTTTAATGTACTATGGTTCTGATGTTGGCAGCGATTAAATCTAGATAATTTTATAGCAAATGCATGTCTCTGGCTGAGTTTTTGCACAGGGGGAAAAGCACATTGATGGTCTCTTCCCTGAAGTCATTCTAATAATGGTTTCATTGTGTGAGCAGGTGTGAATAGCTGGAAAAAGCGCTTTGTTAATGAAGAATCTGGGGACCAGTTCTCTTCACTTCCGAGTCTATTCGAATGCTACCATTTTTGCAATTTTTTAAAAAACCATAGACAAAAGCTCCTCTGACACAAACCTGTCACTCTACTAACTAAATGTGGCATATTCCGTTCCCTGAAAAGTTTTTCCACCTCTTAGATTAAATTAGAAAATGCATGCATAAGTGTTTTGCTAGCAGGCCCTCAGTACATGTAGTTCCCTTTTGTTTCTCCATTTTAGCATGCTGACACCCAGTGGCAGCGCTAAGACAGTGGGAGGTGAGCTTTGCAGGAGCCAAACTGTCTAGATTTAAACCCTACTAGTGCACAGCCCAACCTTATTACCTTGGGCAAGGTTATCTCAGGAGGATGAAAACAAAAATAATAACACCTACCTTATAGGGACATTGAAAGACTTGAATGAATCAAGGTCTTAGAAAATTGACCAGTGCATACTAACAACTGTATAGGTGCTTTGCATTATTAGTGTGTAATTGAATTAAGTAAAATCTTGCCTCTCTTGCCTACCAAGTTTAACTGTAGATTTTTCTTTCTTTTTTCATATAAGCACATAATGGGAATAATAATTTAAAGGTACTTCTAAGATATGTCCTTATTGCTAAGCTAGTTTCTCCTCCTACATTCCATCTGCCAGCAAGGCTAAGTCATGGGGTGCAGTTCCCCTGGGAACAATGACACAGGGGGAGTCCTGTCCAATGAAAAGGAGCACTGCAGAGGAGGGGGAGGAGCATGAAGACCAAAGAGGAAGGCACAGGCACCAGACCCTGTGTTCATGAATCCCCCTCCTGTAAGTGTTACTCTTGGAAAGCACTGAGCTTATTTACTTCCCAGGCAAAGCAATACACAGCACTGAGCACATTTTCTGAGGTGGAAAAAGCAGATTGTTTTACATATCAGAGAGGGAGGAGGTTAATGTTAATTCACAATGGAAAGTTTTCATTCTGGCAAAGTCAGAATATGCCCATTAGTCTCTATATGCTTGGCCAAAACCAATCCCAAGGGTCCAGAAAGGGTCTAATGAAGTGGGGTCACTTAAAATTTTTAGTTATCAGCTGTGTTGCTGATCATTTTATAGCTTCAGCTGATTAAAACCAGTTTCAGTGACATAAAGTGAGTACAGGAGGAGGTTTGGGGAATAGAGCAGGATGGGAAGACATTGGGGTTAGAAACCCACGTACTGGGAGAGGCTTCGAGACCGGGGGGAAGCTGACTTTGCCTGAGCAACTTGTCCAGCGTGGCTTGGGGGTAACTAGGTCCGTGATTTGAGGCAAAGCCTCTGGCTGCCTGGTGTGGTGTGGTCTCCAGAAAGGAATAGTTGCAGGATGACCCCACAGGCCAGGTGGGGCCAGTGGTGCTCCAAAGACAACAGGTCAAGTCTGGGCCTAACCAGCCCCATCAAGGGACAGGGCACATTGTATGGCTCAGAGGCCCTCTATCCCATCACCTTGAGCCATCTGTGAGGAGTGAGTGAATGGAATTCTCCCTCTTTAAACAAAGGAATGACCTAAAGATTCTCCTTAAAAGGGGAGTTCTTGAAATATTATTGTCAAGTCCCTCCCACCCCCCTGCTCAGTAAAGTACAAACTTGGAGGAAAAATAGATAATTGCTACTGAATAAAGAAGCCACATTTCCCTTTGTAGAACTGAATGATACAGTGTAAAATTGTGATTCTGCTATATACATATAATTTAATATTTATATGAAAACATTTAAACTTAATGTTCAATAATTTGAAAGAGCACAAACCGTTAAATTCCACTTAAGTATCTTTATCACACATCTCCATCCCAGCCCTCTGTCTAACCCTCTTCTATGGCTATAAAACTGTGAATGAGCCTGGATTCCTCAGTCATCTACACATCCTCCCTCTTCAGCCCTGACTCAGGCTTCAGGTTCCCAACATCAAAGCTTTCAGATTTTCCCCCTGCTAGAAAGCAGCTCTCATTTTGGTTTCTTCCCCTGAGCAACCAGGAGGAAGAGAAAGAGACTACATCTTCTCTCACACTAAAATCAGGACTTTTCTACTGAGATAATTTGCAAAACATTCTTCCGCTTACAAAGTATAACAGGTGCCTACTCCTTCTCTCTACACACATGACTTTACCTGACTCTCCTTCCCACAGTACAGTGACTTTTCCCCTCTTCAGTTTTCTGTTTTAAGCTGGAAATTGCAATACAGTTGCGTGATCTACAAGCAATAACAACAGGGTGTAGGCACTCAGCTGAAGTTGCTCCTACAAAGGGCCTCAGGGCCTGTTTGCTCTCATAAAGCACTTAGGCCCTGGTCATCACTCATTCAGGCTCTTCAGAAATGGTTTCTTAATGAGATTTAAAGTTATTTTGAGCAAAGACTAATAGCATGTTAAAATGTTTTCATCACAGTCTCACTAAGTGGAGGAATCTGCGTCTCATACTTCCATCCTTTTTTGTGTATTTATATCCCTAGGTAATAGAATTTTTCTGGAAGAAGGTCAATAGCAGCTTAATTTAACTTGACCAGTGAAAACTGCCTGTTGTTTTAACACGAGATGCTTTATTGGTCCCTACTCATTTGAAAGAGGGCTTATCCAACTCTTTTTTTTTTTTTTTTTTTTTTTTGTACAGGGGATCAAACTTGGGACCTTGAGTTTGCAAGGCAGACAGTGGAATCACTGAGCTAAATCCCTGGCCCTCCAACTTTTTAAGAATCTTGAAAGGTGGTGGTGGGGTCACACTTTCCTTGAGGTTTCAGCCTCAAGGCCCATGCTCTCCCAACACAAGAAAGTGATTTCAACTACTTGATACCCAAGTTGCTCATGTGGTTCTCTAAGACCTTCACCTGGACTCCAGTGGAGGTGGAAAATGGCTGCTGCCTTGATTTGTACCTGGAGCTCTGTCACATTTTAGAAGGCCATTGACTTATGCCCCACCTTAAGAAGTGAAGTCTTACAAAATGGGCTTTTCTTTATGAGAATTTTGGATTAAATAAGATACATTCTTGGAATCTCTTGGTAGCTGCTGTGGTCAAATATTCTGAATTTCAATAATAATAATAATAATAATAATAATAACAACAACAGTAATAACATCTATTGAGGACTTTGTGTCAGGCACCATGTTATGTATTTTATGAAGGTTATAGTATTGTTATTCCAACACATAATATATGAATTAAATAAGAATACAAGAGAGAAGTTAAATATTTTACCCAAATTTCCATAGATGGAAAGGATTGAGCTGAAATTGGAATCCAGGTATTCTGACCTCAGAATCTGGGCTTTTAGCCACATTGTCTCTGGACTATGCACACGGAGCTCATTTCTGAATATAATAGAAAGGTGCGTCAGGCATTATGCTGTTTCTCAACAAAGATCGGATTTAGATTTAGCCAGTACAGAATTCCTTCCTGTTCCCCACCGAGCTTTATAGGATTTGGAGGCAGGAAAAGACTGAATATTGCAGTCAGTGGAACACCTCTGAAAGGAAGGGGCCAAGACGGGGAGTGATTTGGGGTTTGTGCACACACGGGTGCCATCTCTCAAGCAACCCCTCTATATTAGTTTGTCCCCCCCGCCCCCCCCCCGCCCCATTGCTGTAACAAAATATTAGAGCTGGGTAATGTAGAAAGAAGTTTATGTAGTTCACAGTTTTGGAGGCTGAAAGACTAAGATTGGGTGGCTCCAATTTGGCCTCTGGTGAGGGTCCCCTTGACTGGATCACACTATGGCAGACGGTAACACTGCAGTGTATGTGACAGGGAGAACTCACATGATAGATCAGGAATCCAGGGAGGGAGACCGGTCTTGCTCTTCTATGACAACTCATAAACCTGGTCCCATGAGAGCTGCCTTAATCTTCTCCTAGGACAGCACCTCTCCAGGACCTAACTACTTCTCACTCAGTCCTACCTCATAAAGGTTCCACGACCTCTCATCACATTGGAGACCAAGTTTCCAACACACAAATCCTTGGGGAACCCACTTGAACCATATCCAAATGATAGCAATACTCACAAAGCTTTACCAGGTTAGGATGTAACATCCTGTGTCAAGAATACAAACTTCTGTCTAGAAAATTTTATTTTGACTTATTCTTTGAAAAATATTTAAAAAAATTTTTTATTGGTACATTTTAGGTATATAATACAGTTACATTCATCATTGGGATCTTGTACCTTTACATGATGTATCTTGGTTCTTATTTTTTCCCCATTCTCTGGCCTCCCTTCACCCTCTCCACCCTTCCCTATTTACAAAGACTTTATTTCCATTTTTTCCTTTTCTCTTATTTTTTCTTTTCTCTTCTTACCGTTCCACTACCCCTCCTACTTCCCTTACACCTTTAGCCCTTTTCTTCCCATTACACAATATCTATTATACATTTTGATCCTTATTTACACTTTTAGTTTATCACACCAGAGAAACTATATGATATTTACACTTGTGTGTTCTATTAATTTCACTGAAGAGTATGTCCTCAATGTGCATCCATTTAGCTATAAATGCCTCTAGTTTCTCATTCTTTATGGCTGAATACTACCCATATATATATATGGAAGATGTGGTATATATATATATATCACATCTTCCTTATCCAGTCTCCAGTTGATGGGCAACTGGGCTGTTTCCATGTTTTACCTATTACAAACTGTGCCACTATAAACATGGGTGAGCATATATCACTGTGGTGATATATGTGGTGACATTAGTCAATGTTTATGTTTCCTAAAACCAGGACCTTGGAAATCAAAGGCCTTTATTTTTTCTTTTTTTTGGTACCAGGGATTGAACTCAGGACCTTGTGCTTGGGAGGCAGGCACTTGACTTTGAGTTTTAAGAGCCATTTTGGAAGCAAGAGA